GTGCAACACTGCTTAATCATGATATTCTTTCTGACCACATTTTAGAGGCACAGGGTAAATTTGAAACTTTTTGTTTCCATTGTTTCTTTCGTTGCAGTTTCCTGTTTCTGTTCAAAACCCACTTTAAAAGTCTCAAGTAAGATATTGTTAATTAGTCATCATTATGTACACGCACTATATACATATACATGTATGTGGCCTCAGTTGAAGCAAGTACAAAAAGAACACACATTTTGAAATGGGAACACCATTAGCATTACAAGTGGGTATGCAGTATTTTGGAACTAAAGTTACCTTTATACAGAAATCCTTTGACATATCCTTCAATAACATCTTGGTAGACCTTTGGCAAAATCAAGCTTCCATTCTAAAAACAAAACGAATAAAAACAACACCATACATGTATGAATACGTACATGTGTATTTCAACAAAGCCAGTCATTGTGACACTGGAGTTGAAGGGAATTTTGCGTAACATGGAAAGTCATTTTAAGGCAAGTTTAGATATGGATATGTGGTTTTGCTTTTACTTTTACTTTTGAAAATGGGGAAAAACATGCTACAATATAAAAGTCACTCTACAATAAACATGCAATTATACTAAAACAACATACTTCATCATACATTTCAACTCTGACTGAATAACACACTCTAACGATGACCATACTGCACGAGGCAGGAAACTTTCACAAAGAGAAGCAGTCTGGTGGAAAGATTTTCTCAGAAAAATACTGAAATTTGACTGGCAATACTTTCACTTTTAAGACTACTGTTTCAAAATACATTAAGTATTTGTACAGTCTCTTAGCAGTCATTGTAGAATAAGTAATAACACAACAAGGAAAATCATTTAATTGAACAACGCAATAAAATCCAGAGTCCATACATGAACATGTAAATGATGACACTGACAAAAAATTGAAGCATGGAGGCAAAATAATAGGACTTCTATTCTCCTTGCCATACATATATGTTCAGTAAAGTGCACAAACAATTTGGAAGCCAAGGGGGATGTTTGGAATAGCGGTGTTTGTTACAGTGGCTTTCCACTATATTATTTCCTTTTTAAACCCCAACAAAGTGGCATTTTGCATGTTTCAGGGAGGGGGTTAAATTTAATGAAACAAACAAAAACAACCTGAAAATTAACTCCCTCTCACTGTTGTTTAATTTTTTTCTTTTTTGATGAGTGGGAATCTCCCCCCTCCAAAAAAAGTGGTATGCTCCCTTGGAAAACATCCTAGCGATGATACCATGAAAATGATACCTGAATCTTCTAATTAAACAATAAAATATCAGGGAGATACTGAATGTCTAAATGCTGGAATGTTGTATATTGTTTAAAGCAATAAACACCTTAGTGCTTATTTTCGAACACACAGACACTCAGTGCATAGCACATGTTCATGTACACATGCAGCTTGAAACTGGGCCAAGTCTTTCTGGTTGGTAGCTGCAAAGCAATTTTTAAATATGAACCTCCAAACTGCACCTTTGCATCTGAGTTAACCTTATTTTCAATATTTGTTTCACTATTTGAAAGGGTATTTTACAGCCTATTTGTTTCTATGCTAATGAGATTTCCATATTCATGGCAAAACTGGGATGTACATGTACTCCCAGAAGGAGAATTTCAATGTTGCACTGGTTTGTGTGTGGGAGAAAGAAAGCACACGCTAGACCTCAACTTGCACATACCCTGCACTCGTTTTCTTGCAAAATTCTGAAAAAAAAATTAACTTACAGATTCAGCTCAACCATGCCAAATAGAAAATCCATATACTGTATCTTGACTACATTTTACATAAATATCCAGTAAAAAATCTACAAATGTCACCCCCGATGTTCCTTTCCATCTAATTTCCCTGGTCTTGCATGTATTTTGGTTGAGTGCACAACAGCATTAAATTCACAAGGTACATATGAACTTTCCTGTTCATACTCTTATTAAACTTCTCAAATAAAAATTTTGGAGGGTGGGGTGTTCTCAGTTGAACACGCATGTATCTGCAGGGAAAGTGGTACAAAATACTGATCATGAAACCAAACATGATTATAATGGCATGTCTTTCTGATACGTATCCACGTTCAGCATATAATCCAATTAACCGTCCTCAATCCCTTCACCCATTAGAGAAGTGAAACCAAACATGATTATAATGGCATGTCTTTCTGATACGTATCCACGTTCAGCATATAATCCAATTAACTGTCCTCAATCCCTTAACCCATTAGAGAAGTGAGAACTGTTGAGGTAAAATACCATGCAGAAGATGTCAAAATGCTCAGGAACAACCATTTGGAAGCCCTAGGTGACTGCTTATACAAGGACAAACATGTATGTACCCCATCTACAAAAAAAAAACCCAACCCCCCCCAAAACAAAAAAACCTAACCTGACATCAACTTCATAGGCAGACTCACTTCTCAGTGTCTCCTGACATCGAACACTGTGTAATGAAAGCACTGACAACACATCAGTATCAACTCATTTTATAGAAGTACTATGATTTGGAATGATCATACTTCTATAGTGGTCCATTTTCAAGGCTTTTGCAAAGTGCATGTTGATTAAGTATACATGGTATAGAATAACTATTGAATCCATGTGTAAGTTCACTGGTGCTTTGTGTATGGAACTGCCAAGGTGTTCAATTGTACTTACTTTGTTCTCTTGCAAGTCTATCAAACGAGCAAGCAGCACCATGCATGGGAGATCATAATAGTTCTCAGTGTAACTGAACTTATCTGCAAAAACATAACAAAATCCAAGAAAATAAGAAAACAGTGAAACTGATTTGTGACTCACTTTTCCAAAACTAGGCTTAAGTACAGGTACCTGCAGGTACATGTGCATGTAACTTTATGTGCCACTGTTTAAATTCCACAACTGTCATTGCTTGTTACAAGCATCACTTACACTAAGTATCACACAAAAAAGGAGAGAATTGTCAAATATCATTACTTATAGTACTTAAGCATAGTTTTGGAACAGTGGTCACATTTGCAAATGTTCCGGGAAAGGCTTACCGTTGATGCATCCTTTTATGTATACGGACATGTACATGTAACTTCCAGTCAAGGTTTTAAGTACCCGTATACTTCCTTTAGCAAATTCAAGATTCAATATCAAGTAAACAAATCATCATCCCCCCCCAAAAAAAATTTGACATCAAGGGTGAGTACAAAAACAAGTTTTGAAGAGGCCCAACTTGTTTATTTGGAGGGCAAAAAAAATGTAAATTTGTTAGTGAATTTTTAATGGCCTTTCTAGGGGATGAGGCTGCATTTGGGGGCTTTTTTGGCACTTTTGGACGCAGGAAACATGAAATGGACAACAACAATTCCTTTTCAATTTTTCAGTTTCAGTTTTAATTTTAAAAATGTTGGATCCTTATTGGGGGACCATGAACCCTGTTGGCCAGCCATCTACCTTTGATACTGCGAAACTTCAACATAAATTTGAAAGGAATCACTTGTATGTGTACAAGGGTTTTCATTTAATAATCGATACAAGGCAAAATAAAAAATATACACGATGCAAGATTTCCGAAGAATCAGGTGTCTACACAACCTGTAAGTTTATTTTGGAAAGAGAGTAAATTTTGCGGTTATTTACATTAAGATAAGTGATTACTTAAGTAGCGAAAATGTATTAGAGAACTTGGATTTATGGTTGCATCGATCAATTTTAAAGATTAGTTGTGTCAAGGTACGGAGTGGTCACTATTTTGTAAATACTTGAGATAGTGGTTTGAACTAATAATATCCTGTATAATTACACCCTTTGACATTGTCGAATATTTGTGCCAGATGGGTGTTTAGAAAAGGTTTGCATTTCATTTACGTAGGGTTCTACTGTGGATATCTGACTAGCAGTCCGATTCAAGGGCTGGCCAGATACCCAAGGAACAACTCAAGACCAGGGTCAACTGGAGACCAGTGTACGAGACAGAGTCAGGTCGGTGTCCCCTAGGCTACTCTGTGATGAAACAGTTTGAGAGTTCCTGTTTGGCCAAAACATAACCAGTCAACGCTGCAGTGACAGAAGGAATCCCTGTAAAAGTAACGTTCAGTTTAAATTGTGCAGCAATTGACTTCAAATCCCCAAAAAGTCCCGGGCGTAATTGATAACGTGAAGCAGAATGACAAAATTGTAAATATTTTTTTACAATGATAAACTTGGAAATAGGTCTCCGTAAAACAGAACATCTTGTATCTGGTGTCTCATTTTGCGTGAGAGTGCAAATAACTGCCGAAGGTTATGTCCACAGGGTTGGGGGCAACTAGGGATGTGACACACAGCCATCACACGATATTTCTTCATAAGAAGGCCAGTGTAAGAACTCACAGACACCATATTACAATTCTGTTCTGTTTATTTGGCAAACTATGTGCTTACAGACTGATTTTTGGACAGTAACACATGACAATATATGAAAGTCGCTCAACGTCCTGTTTTTACCAAAAACCAATTTTTCTCATCTAGATGTCACACATTTGTAACCAATACCGTATATGTGCACATATGTGAGTTTAAACAATTACATGTATGCCAAACTGTTTTAGCAACAGACGTACATATAAAAACTAGGTGTCCCTCCAGAAAGCAACAAGGTAAAATTCAGATACCGCTTTGTCCCAGACAGATACGCACATTTTATTATTACATGCTACATGTACATGCATGTACTTATCAAAAATTGGTATTAAGCTTTACACTGGTATCCTGGTATAGCTATTTCTCTGGTAATGTACAACTGACTCAATCCTTGTCTAGAAAACGGGACAAAAATGTTCTTGGAACAGCATGTGAAATCAGCAACCCATGGTCAGCTCTGCTAGGACATCATGATGTTTCTGCAAAGAATGACTTGTGAATTAAGTTATCTTAGGGATACAGTTTTTCCTTCAGTCAAGACCATTTGACTAAAAAGGACAGTGAACAATTTAACTAGCAGCAAACAAGTGAGCACTGATTTTTATGTGAGGGGGAATCTCAAGGTAAAGAGAAGTTATCGAGCTAGCCAGGATGCATTTACATAAGTCTACATGAGAGGTTCCTCCAGCCCTTCCTCTCCCAAAAAAGAAGTTGGGGAAAATGTGAAAGAGTATCTGGACATTAAGTCAATGGTCAAGGGAAGGCAAATGCTGACTTTTTAGAAGATACATGTTTTATCTTGATTCATAAAGTACAAAAACCTAAAATATGGAAATTACATACACTGTACATGTGTGTGGAAATATGATTAACGCGTAACTTTCGGTTTGATGACATCTCAGCACTTAGAGGCAAAAGCTGAACACTGCACCGGCTATCACTTTTTAGGCTATAGTAATAGGAGGTTCAAACATGGAGGAAGAAATAACAGATTTTCATAAAACAGGTGATCATACAAACTCGATCGAAATGAGTATTAAACACTGTCCCCACAGCGACTGCCAGTCTAATGACATCATGAATATGAAACCTTTGCCAAGTAATTTGTGGTTTTACAACATAATGGGCACTGATACATGTACATTAGCGGTTGATAGTTCGATACATTATCTGTTGATAAATCATCTGCTCTGTGGTGATACATTATCGGTTGATAAATCATTTGCTCTGTGGTGATACATTATCGGTTGATAAATCATCTGCTCCGTGGTGATACATTATCGGCTGATAAATCATTTGCTCTGTGGCGATACATTATCGGTTAGAGTATTTTTGCTACTACAACATCCGTCAACACGTGACACATTATCCGTTAGAAAGTTTACTACACCATGGGTCATTTTATGATACAAGTACATTATTGGTTGGTAATATAATATCGGTCAATTTGTGTTACATTATCGGTTGGTAATAGGGTCATTCCATGTCAAGTCACACACCCTCCCCATTGACACCTCTTCAATTTGCCTGATCTTTATTCTATTAGTGCCATATGATGACAAATGAAAGAGCTCAAACAGTTTTCAAGTTATAGCCCTTCAAGTTTGGGTGCCACGCCCACATTTGGGATCAGGGAATTGCACACTAAATTTTGGACCATATTTGGAGGCCCACATCTTTTGTTTAAGGTGCCAGTAAGTACCTTACATTGCTATATTATGTATTCTGGCCCTGTCTATCAGAATCTGCACTTAAAAATACAGTGTAGCATAGGTGGACTATTTTTAGAGATATTAACCCTTTAAAAGTGGATTTTTTAATGACGCAAGATATTTTTTTTGAGATTTTGGGGTCCATATCTTGGAAATATTTCATGTTGGTTGGGTTTTAACTAATTTATCATCATATTTGGGAACTCTACTATGTATTTAGAGAGTTTCAAGGCACTCAGGCCTTGGGGGTACAGGAGGGCTCCAAATATGGCCATGGGACAAAATTACCATTTCGGACCCCCTACCTCAGGCCACTAGTTGGCCAAGTGGGCACATGATCATGGGAATGAACTTTTCGTCTCGTCAACAGTCAGCTTTCAATAACATTTTGAGCCAATGAAAACTTTGATTATCCAACTCCTTCACTATGAACTAAGCCTTGGCATATGGTACTATTTTTGGCTATTTTCCGAAAAATCCCAAGTCCGGAATGTAGGTCAACTGTTGTTTTAACTGCCTATTCATGTTTCTTGTAGTAAAAACACATCACCATACGTAAATTGATCAATTGACATGGAATGACCCAGTAAACTATCGGTCAATTTGTAATACAGTGTACATTATCAATTAGTAATATCGGTCAATTTGTAATACATTATCGATTGGTAATATCGGTCAATTTGTGATACATTATTGGTTGGTAATATACTATCAGTCAATTTGTGATACATTATCAGTTGGTGATATACGATCGGTCAATTTGTGATACCAGTACAAAATCGGTTGGTGATACATTATCCATTAGTTACTAGTTACTACGAGGACTATCCTGATACTGTACATGTATAACAGCTGAAGTAATCTGCTTGTTACAATACATACATGTAGTATGCTTGTAAACCCAAATTTCTTGTAGGAAGTGATCAATTCACTTTTAAGTGACCAGCCAAGGAAGGGATCCTCAAATGTCATTAACAGTTGGTAATCACTGCTGCCTAACAAAAATTCAAAATGTGTACATGTAAATTTGTTCAATTTCTAAAAGTTGACAGCAAGCTTAAGGACAGTAATTCTAGCGGTCAAAATGAAAGGCACGTGTCTTGGTGTGTATACTTTAAATATTAATAACATCGTTTTCTCAGAAAATGTTTGGGGGGAACTCTATGTTTACACGTAAGACCAATTCTCATTTCTGATGGTCTTCCTTGAATAATAAAATTTGAAGTGGTTTTATAAAAGGTCTGTGCACTGAGTTGTTTACATGCATTCTGTGTGACTGAATCACAGGTACAATGTACATGTAGTTCTGGTCCCGAGGATGAGATGAACAGAAATGCAATGTCTCAAAGTGTATTGACTTCTTGCATATACATGTATCTACCGAAACATGCAACTATTACACTGTTAACACATCAAACTATACTTGAAGAGTGTGACTGTTAAAAATGGTATCAGCCAAGTTTTTCCTTCAAAGATATTAAATCCGTCCAGGGGATTCATGGTATCATACACGTACATGTACATGTACTCACAGGTCTCAATGCTTTCCGTGTACATATAAGGAACAACTAACACACCGATGTATGTACATTGTATAGGTATATACAATCGATCGTCAAAGCTGTGATGCGCATTTTATGCATTTGCTGTTGCGA